ATATGATCTCCCTCAAAATAAAGCAGTTCCCTAAAGTTGACAGCCCTGAATATGTAGAGGAGTCATTTCTGGGAAATTCCATGAGATAATCACAACGCCCTTCTTATTCCCATCTTTTGCACTAAATTTCAACTTGTTATTTTGAGAGTTTAATATTTGGCAATTCGGCATGAGGACCAACTAATTCACTGACACTGTACATACATGTACATGTATGTTTAATATCGCATTTTGTGTTAATTTGCACACCTACTGACACTGTACATGTACACTGTATGTAGCACTGCTGTGTATCTTCTCATAACACACAATAGCCAGTGATAGTTGAAATGAAGTGGTGCCAGCAATGTGTTGTTATTTTCAGGCGCGGATCCAGGGGGGGGCCGAGCGGGCCTTGGCCCCCCCCCCCCCGCAAAAAAAAAAAAAAAGAGAGAGAGAAGAAAGGAAAAGAAGGGAAAGGGAAAGAGGAGAGAAAGGGAAAGAAAAAAGAGGAAGAAAAAAAGAAAAGGGGAAAGAAGGAGATCGGGGGGGGGCCGAAAGAGCCTTGCCCCCCAGGCTGTTGACCCCCCCCCCCCAAAAAAAAAAAAAAAAAAAAAAAAAAAAAGAGAAAAGGAAGGAAAGGGAAAGAAAAAAGGAAAAGAGGAGATACTGGCGTACGGATAGGGGGGGGGGGCTTGGGGAAAATCAATTTCAAACGTGGTTTATTTCTAATTCCACAACGGTGGATTACAAATAATGCTGAAATTACTTAATTTCCGAGATTTTTCCTCACTTTTTAGTAAATTATACGTTTGTATGTGTTTTTACAGCCAGGCAAGAAATATGATTCTTGAGATTCCTACATGTCAGGGCCCGAGGTACGGCAGGGATCGGGAGCCTCGAGCTCCCTCCCCCCCCCCCCCTCCCCCCCTCCCCCCCTCCCCCTCCCCCTACACTTTTTTTGAAAAAGTATATTAAAGAGAAATAAAATAGAATGAGAGCAAGAAAGAGAGAACAGTTAACTGCCAGTGTTAAAAAATAATGAGGCATCAAGATATGCTCATCTGACAGGGATTAAATGCCTAAAACCCCTAAGCTTCCGGGGGTTCTGCCCCCATGGACTCAACCTATAGGGCCCTACGGCGGGCCCATAGATGCTTATCTGACGGTAATTTAATGCCTAAATCCCCTGATTTTTGGGGGCTCTGCCCCCTGTACCCCACGCCAATAGTGTCCTGCCAGTGTCACAAAATAATAAGGTATACAAAAAAAAAATGCTCATCTGACCTTAGTTAAACGCCTAAAACCCCTGAGCTTCCGGGGCCGGTTTCTGCTGTCTCGACCCCACCAGGGGCCCTAAGGCGGGCCCCTGAATGCTTATCTGACCGAATTTATTGCCTTAAACCCCTGAGCTTGCGGGGTCGGACAACGTATCAAAATGTGTTTATCGGACCGCAGGCACGTAGCCAGGGGGGGGGGGGGCGTAGGAAGAAAAAGGAGCAGACAAAGGATATCGTTGAAATTCAGACGAGGATTAAGAATCAAGAACGGTACAGCAAATCGTCTTCTTTCTCTCTTAATCTTATGAAACGTCAAAGCTTCCGCGCTTTCCGCGCGGGAGGGGGGGAGGAACCTGAATTCAAACGAGGATTCAGAGGCGAGAACTATAATACGAATCATAATGATTTAATGAAACATAAAAGCTTCCGCGCTTTGCGCGGGATAGAGGGGGAACTAAATTCCGACGTGGATTATTTTCGAGAACGGTACAACAAATCGTCTTCTTTCTCTAATGATTTAATGAAAATTAAAAGCTTCCGCGGGAGGGGGGGGGACCTGAATTCAGACAAGGATTAAGAGTTGAGAACGGTACAACGAATCGTCTTCTTTCTTTAATATTTTAATGAAACGTCAAAGCTTCCGCGCTTCGCGCAGGAGGGGGAGGGGGGGGGGAGACTGAATTTAGTCAAGGATTAAGAGTCGAGAACGCTACAACGAATCTCCTTCTTTCTCTAATGATTTAATGAAAATTAAAAGCTTCCGCGGGAGGGGGGGGGACCTGAATTCAGACAAGGATTAAGAGTTGAGAACGGTACAACGAATCGTCTTCTTTCTTTAATATTTTAATGAAACGCCAAAGCTTCCGCGCTTCGCGCAGGAGGGGGAAGGGGGGGGGAGACTGAATTTAGTCAAGGATTAAGAGTCGAGAACGGTACAACGAATCGTCTTCTTTCTCTAATGATTTAAGGATTCGTAAAAGCTTCCACGCATTCAGACGAGGATTAAGAGTCGAGAACTGTACAACGAATCGTCTTGTTTCTCGAATGATTTAATAAAACGTAAAAGCTTCCGCGCTTCGCGCGGAAGAGGGGAAAATCTAAATTCAGACGAGGATTATTTTCGAAAACGGTACAACGAATCGTCTTCTTTCTCTAATGATTTAATGAAAATTAAAAGCTTCCGCGAGAGGGGGGGGGACCTGAATTCAGACGAGTATTAAGAGTCGAGAAGGGTACAACGAATCGTTTTCTTTCTCTAATGATTTAATAAATCGTTAAAGCTTCCACGCTTCGCGCGGAAGGGGAAAACTGAATTCAGACGAGGATTAAGAGTCGAGAACTGTACAACGAATCGTCTTGTTTCTCGAATGATTAAATGAAACGTAAAAGCTTCCGCGCTTTGCGCGGGAGGGGGAAAATCTAAATTCAGACAAGGATTATTTTCGAAAACGGTACAACGAATCGTCTTCTTTCTCTAATGATTGAAAGAAACTTAAAAGCTTCCGCGCTTCTCGCGGAGGGGGGGGGGAAAACCTGAATTCAGACGAGGATTAAGAGTCGAGAACTGTACAACGAATCGTCTTATTTCTCGAATGATTAAATGAAACGTAAAAGCTTCCGCGCTTCGCGCGGGAGGGGGAAAATCTAAATTCAGACAAGGATTATTTTCGAAAACGGTACAACGAATCGTTTTCTTTCTCTAATGATTGAAAGAAACTTAAAAGCTTCCGCGCTTCGCGCGGAGGGGGGGGGGGGGAACCTGAATTCAGACGAGGATTAAGAGTCGAAAACTCTACAACGAACCGTCTTCTTTCTCTAATAGTTAAATAAATCGTAAAATTTTCCGCGCTTCGCGCGGGAGGTGAAAAACTTAATTCAGACGAGAATTTTTTTTCGAGAACGGTGCAACGAATCGTCTTCTTTCTCTAATAATTTAATGAAACGTCAAAGCTTCCGCGTTTCGCGGAGGGAGAAGGAAAATCGCCCCTCCCTGCACCGACCCCCCCCCCCCCCCCCCCCGCATTACGTCACTGTTGGTCACCATTACGTACCAATATTTGGCTCGCAAAATTTCAAATTTGGGCCCCCCCCCCCCCCCCCCCTAAGAAATCCTGGATCCGCGCCTGGTTATTTTCCATTCATTGATGGTGCATGATGACGTGAAAACAGTTGTGGCATCATGCAGGGATATATAGAATAGTATGCTGAGAATGCCAATCCAGGCTACATGTCATTATCATTCTGCCTTGTAGAATAGCCTCTGGGTATTAACAAAAATGTCTTGTGATTATGTTGTTGGTATGAATATTGATTCCAGCATACATGTACCTGTAGTGATACAAATATTCATTGTAGTGAATTGACTGAAAGAGAGATCATGGTATGCGGTTCATTTCCTGAGTACATCAATAGAAAACTGTAAATAAGGGACATGAAAGGAGACATGACTGCTTGTACCGTGTGTATTGGTTAGAGTGAACATGACATGAAGTAAGATCTTTTACTATACAACACTGTACATATTGTACTGTCGATCATTGTAGACAATAGATGTATAGGCCTTTAGTTTCTTTTCTTCTCGATTGGTAAGTACTGATATTCATGATCTTATATACATGTACCGGTACATGTACATCACATATGAAAGTGTTGAATTACAGACTAAAAATTATGCAATCATATGAACGATGTAGTATATTATGGAGAAAGAAAACAAAATCACAAACCCATAATAATAGCTTTATACACCATTAGGGCCTTTTTCAAGAAGTTTTTGTTTTTGTTGAATGCAGGCATTGCTTTAGGAGCCCGCACCTACATGTGGAGCACAGAATGAGGTTCAAATTCTTTCTAGTCATACGTGCTACCTCTGAAATTGGGCAGCAAAGTTTGATCCTAAACTATTCAGATGATGAGCGACAGCTCTTAAAGGTGATGAAAAATGAATGCGTTGGTCAATATCAGTGGGCAGCTTCAGTTGTGTTCACACTGCAACAAGGTTCTAGAACTTAGAGATACATTTGTATGCTCATGTACATGTATGTACTTACCGGTAAAACAAACAAGGACATGTAGAACAATCTGATAACAGTTGGTAATCATCTTAATTTTTCATTTAGGTCTTCATCATCTGCTCGATTAATTTAATATTTATTTGGTCTTATGATCTTACCTTCCCAAAATTAACATTATAACTTACTTTTTTCCGGTCATGATTTGTCCTGCTTCTTCTTCCTTCCCCCTTTTCCCCTTTCCTTCTTATCTGTTTTACTTCTCCTTGTTCGTTTCGTGTTTGTAAATTGTATGTTGTTTTGAAATATTGTCTTGTGTTTTCTAAGTCTTCGTAAGCAAAATTTGAAACATTTACATTTTTATTTTTTTCTGGGGGATCCACAAACTCCTCCCCCATTTCCTCAGAAATTAAGAAATTATTGTAATAATTTTATTATGTGCAAGTTGTTTATTTGTATAGTTTCTTGAAAAAATGAATTATGTATGAAATCAAATGTAATATCTTTGTTTACCTTTCTGTTGGAAATGAAATAAATATGAATATGAATATGAATATAAGAGTGTGGGCCAAATATATCAAAATTGTAAAGAATCACTATCCAATTTTCGAAATTTCCTGAAACTTTGCATTACCTTTAAAGCCCCACTGTACTACTTGTAGCTACTTGCTCCCTCTATATAGAAAAAATGCCTAATCGGTGCCTATTGGTTCCCCATGCTCCTCTTTTTCTTATGTTAATTGAGAGCTGAGTTTATGAGATAGCCACCTGTCAGTGACCTTGCTGGATGGTCTATTCCCTCCTGGGTAAACTAGTACAGACAGGCTTTAATTAAATGAAGAAGAAAAAAATGACAGAGCCCCTGATTTAGTTTCTCACTTTTTGAGGTGTGGTCAAAGGCGCGTAGTCATTCCTTTGAAGTGATCCATTGCTAATGTCTTTCTGTATCTCTCTATGCAGTCATAATGCCTCCCATACCAGAGGCTGCTCGGATAGGGGAGCCAGTCCAGATCATCACCACCACTGATGATCATTCCTTTGAGTTGAACCATGAAGCCTTAGATGAGCTGCTTCTCAATGAGGATGTAAGAGACAAGAAGGTGTGTGTCGTCTCAGTGGCAGGAGCTTTTAGGAAAGGGAAATCTTTCCTTCTAGACTTCATGCTCAGATACCTCAACATGCAAGTAAGTCAATTGCCCTTAAATGTTTATCTGAACAAGTCGTACCATTCTCAATCTGGTTTTATAGTGTTAGTTAAACAGTATGATGAAAAACTTAAAATACATTAAGATTCGAGGTAGTTGTGAATGATAATTTCAGACTTCATATTTTAATCCAGGTACATGTATAATGTAGTCCCTTTAAATTCTTGTGTTGGATAAGAAATGAAATCATATCTGAAATCATATTTTGTGTGGAAACTTATGTGGTAAATATTTTTGTCAGTTTTTGTTGATTGCTCATATTCATAGGAATTTGATAATCCCGTATTGTCTTTTATTATTATAACTTTGATATTTTATCCATGTGTATTTGTGAATTGTCAATACCTCGCACAAACCCTTTGTGGAATCTACTTAGGATTTGAAGAGTGTACATAGTTTCATGTTCCATTCATGTACTGTATTGTTTATCAGGGATCAAGTGACTGGCTTGGACCAGGAGACCAACCGTTATCAGGGTTTTCCTGGAGGGGAGGTTCTGAGAGGGAGACTACAGGGATCTGGGCTTGGAGTAAAGTATTCCTATGTCCTGGACCTAATGGTGAAGAGGTAAGACCAGTCCATCTTTTTTTCTTCATACAATGCATGCCTGGCATGCAGACACAACATATTTGAGCTCCAGATTTTATACCATACATTGATCCTTGTTGATTTGTTCAATATCCGTTTTCAATTGGATAGTTTCAGAAATCACATTATCTACAAATAATGTACATAATTAGAAACAAAATCACTGAACAAAAACAAGTTTGGGCGACATTATAGACATCATAAGTCAGGCCTGACTGTTGAAGATTGTAGATTGAGAAGTTGACTCGTAAAACTAAGTTCCAAGCCTTGAAATACATGTACAATACTTCACTGATGCCATTTAAATCCCAAATCCTGACCTCTCCAATATCAGGATCGTGAGCTATAAACATGAATACACTCTCTTTTCTTCAAATTAGGAACGTAATTTAACTTCAAATACATGTAGTAGATCCTATTTTGTATTTGCATTATGTTATTTATGTTGAGACACAGAGATGGTAGAAAACCACTAAAAAGTAGCATTTTGAGGACTCAAAATATCCTGTACCTGTCTACAAGACGCACCCCCGACTTTCAAAATTTTCCGGCGGAAAAAAAGTGTGTCTTATACACAGAGATTTACGATATGTATGTATTTTGAAGTGAAAGTTGAACTTGTTATTCTTTGTAGGTTGCAGTGATCTTAATGGACACACAGGGAGCCTTTGATTCTGAGTCAACAGTCAGAGATTGTGCTACAGTGTTTGCTCTAAGTACCATGACTAGCTCAGTTCAGGTGAGTTGGGATATGACAAAACCATGGCATTTTTTAATGATGTTTTTCTGTATCTTATAACACAGACCTCATCCATTCACACGTTAAAAAAAAGACGTGGCAGCTTTTTGAGGTGGTTTGCCGCATATCAGAACGAGCCTTTATTGATGAATTATTTTCTTGATTAAACTATCTGTAAATAGGCCTGAAATCTGCAGACCTCTTCAAGCAACACAGGAATTTTCAGCAAATCGCCGCTTAGAACAGCGGCAAAGAGGTGCTTGACCAGTTTAGGCCATGGCCTTAGTTAGTTGTTAAATGGGAGTGGAGAAACTACTTCTTTCTTAAGGTTTTTTTGCCAACAGTACAAGCCTAGTTCAGATACGATGCGGTTAAATGCATCTATTAAATGATGACGTAAGTGTAACACACTTCATACACTTCTCTCCCTTATAACACAGAGCTTGGTGAATACGGGTAGGACCTTTGTTGTGAGCAGTTGCCGTTCATTGGCACCAACCAAATATAATATGCTGCGGTTTACCAAAGCATATCTCAACAAGCCTTTAGAGGGCTAAGCATAAGAGATGCTGTTAGGTATGAGGAGACATCTTACTGATAAGTGTTGATGGCTTTAAAATACAATTTTGATTGGATACCGGTACTGGTATATCCTTTTATTACATCCCTACAATAGCATATTGTACATCTGTACATAAAACACTGTTCTTTATATCTTGCAGGTTTATAACTTGAGTCAAAATATTCAGGAGGATGACCTACAGCATTTACATTTGTTTACTGAGTATGGAAGACTTGCTATGGAGCAGGATAGTTCTGGAGCCAAACCATTCCAGGTCAGTCATTGATGTATGTCCCAAGGATTCTATGACAGGCATGACTATCTACAGTGCGTCCCACAAAAAATGAAAACCAAGAATTATCAATGTTTTATCATAACTTAGTCACATTTATAATTATTAAATGACACATATTTGGAAAGCTTAGATCCTCCTCTTTCATGTGATATAACTCATATGATGCATATTTCATGCATGAGTGATTAAAAACAATTTGAAGAGAGGAAACCAAAAAGTAATTTGGCAGACGGTATCTGAATTTCAACGAGAAAATCACATTTCTAGAAAGTTAAGTTTCTGCCCTTTCATATGACACCTCAAGCTGGAAAAATGAGCAAGGAATCACAAAGTTCTGTTTTTTTAAATTAGTGATTACATTTCCATAATTTTATCAAACAAATTCATTTTCACTGGCTGCCTGCCGTAGCAACAAACAGAATTAACAAAAGACTTAACTCCTTTTCGTTGACAATCAGCCGTAGACGAAAGACATCATGCAATGGCAATTCAGGCTGTATCTTTTTTTTTTCTAAAAAAAGCTACAGCATACGTTATTTCGCCCTTCCAAGGTATCAACATTGATATATATTCATTGTATTCCTTGTTGAGTGGGTTGAACGAAGATGCAATGATCATGTTGTTAATCCCTAATAGGCACTCTATGCCCTTAAAGGCATTGTTAAACGATGTTAAATCTGAGATGCACGGCCCCATGTGTTATCAGTGTCTGTGATATGGTGTAATATTGAAGCCCTAAAAAAGAATTGCGCCTCAAAATGATCAAGAAGTGCCTCATAAAAGTAAAAATCTTTAAATGACAGATTTTACATACTTGTTTTCCCAATAGACTGTAGTGCTATGAAAACCGTTAGGCAAACACACAATTTGGTTTTGATTTCCAATCATAAATATCTTGATAATCAGACAGGCGGACGGCTTGTAAAAGTCATGGGGTTCCTGATTGACCTTAAGGTTTATAATTATAATTGCAGCATGAGCTAAATCCAGGATTTTGTTTTAGAATCTGAGACAAAGTTACCGGTTCCCTTTAAGCAAGGTGTTTTTATCTTTATTGCTTCTCTCCACCTAGGTACATAATTGGGTAAATAAAGTGCAAACATGATTACAGTTACAATAGCATATGCACTCTTTTAAAATGATGGCTGTCATGTCCCGGTGTCAAGTATGCCTTGTCTTAGTGCAGAATCGTAATGGAATCCAATGCAGAGGGTAATAAAACTCTGTAAAATGATCGAACAGTTCTTTGTATTGCAGTTATTCATCTGCTTGATATTTTGATTATATGTCTGCTACTTCACACTCGTTGTATCACTCGAAGATGAGAATTATCTGTGTTTGCCCTGTGAACAATAATAAGTTCATACTTCTTTCTATTTTGATTTTAGTCTTTGAATTTCCTGGTTCGTGATTGGAGCTTCCCCTATGAATATGCCTTTGGGGAAAGTGGAGGTTCTAAGTTACTTGACAAGAAGTTACATGTAAGTAACACATACTTAACATTATGTCTCATGTCATAAGTAAATATTCTGCTATTAAAATTGGTCGTTTAATAATCCTAGCCACACTGAAATGTAGTTCTGCAATTTTTTTTGTGTTTGCCTGTTTGAAATTGATTTCGCCTTTATTTTTTATGTAAATTTTTAAAAATAAATAAATACATTATGATCACAGGTACATGTATATTGTACATGTCTATGGGATTCAATCAGGCATTTGATCTAGTATTGTCTTGCCTCAACTGAGATGTTCCTGCCTTCCTTGTAGTAAACATACTCTGCAGAGTGTATCAAAGCTTGGATAAAGCTTGAATACAATAGGTAATGATATCTTGCCTGTTATACTCTTGGTCCAAATTGACTGATATAAAGCCTTGCAGCATCCCAATCCCCCAAAGTGTGTAGGTTGGAAATGTGCACTGATATATTTATAACCATTGTTGGTACTTTGTTTCTCTAACGTCCTCCAAGCTTTGCGTGAGCTTCACGTGTGTTATGCATTGATGAGAACCTAGTAGAGCTTCATGAATCAGATAATCATCGACTGATTATTGTCATCTATTTTGTACCGACAGCAATCAGCTTATCATAAAGAGTTACAGGATGTGCGACATCATATCACAAGCTGCTTCAAGAGACTTGGCTGCTTTTTGATGCCTCATCCTGGTCTAGCTGTGGCTAACAAACAAGATTTTGATGGAAGATTAGCAGGTAGGGGGTTTAACTTTCTAAAACATAATTGAAAGTTATGCAATTAGTAAATATGTTTTACCTACTAGGAAAATTACCAATACAAATGATAAAACCCCCTGTATTTTAACTGATGTCCCATTTATTGATATGGTGCACAACACCTTTATGTGGGCAATACCTTTTTAACCAATAGAGGAACATAATTTGTTAAAGTAATGAATGAATTCATTTTGCCTTCTTAAATTAGCACGAGTTATATATTTTCTTCTCGTACATTCTGTAGACAAACTAAATTGTATATTGAATGAACTTTTAAAGTAAAAAATTGTATCGTGGAGTTTAAAAAAAAACACACAATTATTTGTTTGTGAAAATATCGACTTTTTAAAATAATATACATGATGCCAATTTGAAGAAATGAATGTTTATTTTTTTCATTTGAAAATATTTTTAGTCTGAACAACCAAAGGTTCTACGACAGAAAGGGATTCAAGTTTGTCAGTTCGTTTAAACCCTTTTAACAGCTTTAAGAATTAAATTCATGATTCAAAATCAGTTTGTTTCCTTCTTGATTTCAGATATCAGTGAAGATTTCAAGACCCACCTACAGGAATTAGCTCCTCTTCTTCTTTCGAAGGACAATCTGATTGTCAAGGAGATCAATGGCACTAAGGTCACGTGTCGAGCACTTCTAGAGTACTTTAAGGTCAGTTTTATAATACAATCTAACGTATAGAATCACCTATTATTTGGTAGAGAGTCAAACTTCTATTTCAGGAGGTAACACAACACTAAATGTAGATAAACCAACGACCGTCCTTTGGCAAGACATTAATCTACATTTGCCATACCCCACCCAGGTATTAAATGTAAAAGGGTACCTGGCAATTATCAATTCCTAAATATGCTTGAGCGCCATACTAGCTAGCAGCAGTGGCGTACCTGGGGTACTCCGTCAGGAGGGGCAAGCGATCGAGAGAAAAAAAAGGCGATGATAATTTTCACTTCTGGTTAGCGAGCGGGCAAAAAAATATCTTTAAGTAACGTTTGGTATATAAACCGGTATTGTTGCAAGTCGAGGGTGAGCACATTCATTTGTTATATAGCGACGTTAATTTCATGTTTGCAAGCGAGCGTAGCGAGCAAGAAAAAATCACTTCTTTTTTAATAATTGCCACTTAAATTTGTTTCATTGTTCCAGGTCGGAAGCGGGCACAATCGTGTTTCAGGCAATGTCAATCTCATTTTGGCGGGCAGGCAACCCCCTACATTTCTCTTGTTTAATGATATTAAAAGCGAACATGGTACATGAACTTGGTTTCATTGTTCCATGACAGGGACGTGATTATTAAAAGCGATGTTATTTCTATTATGGCGAGCGAGCGAAGCGAGCGAGCAAAATTTTTGTAATGATAATTGGTTCATAAATTTCAGTTTTTGTTGTTGCAGGTCAGGGCTTACACAGTCATGTCTAAGGGTTAATTCCGTTTTGGCGAGAGAGCACACCCAAACTTCTTTGAATAACGTTTGGTACATAACTATTAACTGGTTGTTGCAGGTTAGGGCGGTGTTAATTTCATTTTGGCGAGCGAGCGTAGCGGGCAAGAAAACAAAATCGCTTCTTTTTTTAATCATAATTGCCAATTAAACTTGGTTCAATTGTCTTCAATGCATTGGTACATAAACTTTGTTTCATTGTTGCAGGTCTGGAGTTGGTAGAATCGTGCTGTCAATCCCATTTTGGCGTGCAGGAAAATCCCCCCCCCCCCCCCCACATTTCTCTTTTTAATGAAATTGTAGCAGGTCAGTGGCGGGCACATTAGCATAATTCCACTTCGACGAGCGAGCGAAAAAAAACATCGCTTCTCTAAAATCACCTCTCTTTTAGTGAGAACATGGTACATAAACTTGGTCGGGGTCGGGCACAAGCGTGATTTATAGTAAAGCGATGATAGTTCTATTTTGGCGAGCGGGCGTAGCGAGCGAGCAAAACAGATATAATGATGATTGGTACATAATTTTCAGGTTTTTTGTTGCAGGTCGGAGCTTACACAATCATGTTTAAGGTGATGTTAATTCCATTTTGGCGAGGGAGCGTAGCTAGAGAGCAAACCAAATTTTCTTTGAATAACGTGTGGTACATAATTATTACCTGGTAATTTGTTGTAGGTTGGAGCGAGCATGTTTGTTAGCGATGTTATTTGTAAAGACATCATAGCAAGAGAGGGTAAAAAAAAAATCAACTCATATATCAATCACTAAAATCAATCAATTCATCAATTCTGGCGATCAAGGAAACAATATCTCTTAAAATAACGTTTGGTACTTATTTACTGGGATTATTGTTGCAGGCAAGGGGGCGCACATATTTTGTTAGAAATGTCAATTCCATTTTGGTGAGCGAGCATAGCGAGCGAGCAAAACAAAATCAATTCTCTTTAATAGAAATTAATACATAAACTTGTTTTTATTGGTGCAGGTCGGGATGGGCGCAATCGCGTTTAACGCGATATCAATTCCTTTTTTGGCGAGAGGGCGAAAAAACACTTCCATTTTTAATGATATTGTTTCAGGTCAAGGGAGGGCACAGTTATTTTCAAGGCAAGTCTATTCCATTTATTCGCGAGCGAGCGTAGCGAGAGACAAAATGAATTAGTCTCTTTTAGTAACATTTGGTACATACATGTAAATTGGGTGTTATTGTTGCCATGGTTGCAGGTTGGGGCCAGTCGGGGCAGGCACAATTGTATTCTAGGCAATGCTTATCCTTTTTTTTCAGGGGGACGAGCAAGTGAAAACAATTAATACAAAATAGGCTAGCGAGCTCGGCTCGCGCCAGCAAAGAGTGTCGAATTTGTTATATCACTTATATTTTCCTATCTTCATTTGTCTTTTTCAGGGCCGTATGCGGAATATTTTCCTGGTGGGGGAGGGGGAAAGATGCGTAAAAAGTTTTCTACGAAACTCAAAAGCGAAAGTAGTGAAGGGAGTTCGAGCGACCGAACTGGTCATGAGGGTACTTTTGCATTTTCAAACATAGAATTGAAGGATTTGGTATATTTCCCCATTTTTTCTCTGCTTTCTTTTCCCTTTTTCTTCCTTTTCTCTTCTTTTTCCCTTTTTCTTTCCTTTTCCCTTTTTTCCTTTTTTCTCTTTCTTTCCTTTCCTTTTTTCCCCTTTCCTTTCCTTTCTTTTCTTTCCTCTTTTTTCTCTTTCCCCTTCTTTCCTTTCCCTTCCCCCTTTTTCTTTTTCCCTGTAGCCCGTGAGGGGGGCACTCTGCCCCCTTGCCCCCCCCCTCAGGTACGCCAGTGGCTAGCAGCCTTGCTGGGGTAATAATTGTAGAGCACCAGGAGTGTAAAGTCTGACAAACATGAGTGCTACATACGAACCTGCTATTATCATTATTATTACTATTTATAACTAGTTGATATGTCACTGGACAGTGGATCAACTTTGCTGAGTTTGAATCCTATTCACAGCATTAATATCCTCGGACACTCTTTATAAATGTTTATTTGCATCTGTTCACTCAAGAACGAAATCATAAAGAGCTAGATACTATTTGGGCGTGGGCAGATAAAGGCCATTCATACCGAAATTGTAAAACCCACTGAATCGTAATTATATGTATAGCGTAATTATATGTAAAGCGTAATTATATGTAAAGCGTAATTATATGTAAAGCCTAATTATATGTAAAGCGTTAGGCTGTGCATAACCGTGTAATGAGATACTCGAGTACTCTCCCAGGCTTACAGGCGACTACTCAAATACTCAGACGCCATGTTCAAAAAAATATTTTAAAAAATGAAATAAAATATCTTTATTTTTTTATTTTTGCCACCACCATACTACGGCAGCAGTATCCCAGGTCAGTCTCCGAAAAATCACCCAACTTTACTTTGATTTGCAGTTGAAGGCGCCGATTTAATAATAATAATAATAATAGTAAACAATGCTGTTTTAAAAACCAAAGATGACAAACTAATCCATTTTTCTCTGAGTCCAAACAAAAATCCGGACATTTGGTCCAAATTTCTGAGTGGTGAGTTGACAGTGATTGAGCTGGGAAACATTTTTACCAAAGGTACCATGCCGGTGTGACCGCACCGTTTGTCCTACCAGTTTCGTTTGTCCGTCGGGCATAACATGCGGGTTTTCTGCTCGCAAGGATCGTCCGTGCGGTTTGCTATCCGCACAGTCTGTCCTCATATTGTTTTACGTGTATATTTGATAAAAGGAAGCAACTCGGTAAATCATGTGGTAGAAATTTTTTCTAGATATTACATAATAATAACTCTCCTTAATTTTTTAAAAGCAAATGGGCCAGTCATTTTGAAAGTAGAAGTGAATATTTTATTTAAAACATTTATTCTATGAATATCTGCCCCACAACTGTTGTAATCGATTATACTTTTGTACGTGGCTTCGTTCTTCAACCAACTCACTACTAGTATATACTCGTGATCCAGGCCCCGCCCCCAAATATTTGGGGGCGTTTCGAGGTATAATGAAGGAGTTAAATGGGGAAATAAAAGTGATTAAAAATGTGGTTGAAAGTGAGTGGGGGAGGCTAGAGTATTAAAGATAAGGTATAGAGCGTAGCACAAATTGGCGGATGCTCACGGGGTAGGGGCATTTAATTACGGTCAGATGAGCATATTTTAATACCTTATTCATGACACTAGCAGGTCACTAATTGGCGTATGGTCCAAGGGGCGGAGCCCCCGGAAGCGCAGGGGATTTAGGCATTAAAATTACGGTCAGATGAGCATCCAGGGGCCAGCCTTAGGGCACAAAGTGGGATCCAGGGGGCAGAGCCCCGGAAGCTCAGGGGTATGGGCATTTAATTACGGTCACATGAGCATACTTTCTTTTCTATTTCTTTCTATTTAATTATCTTTAATATACTTTTTCAAAAGTGTGGGGGGGGGGGGGGGAGGCTTGAGCCCCCAAGCCCGCCGTTCCACAGGACCTGACAAGTATTGTTTCCCTGATCCGTATATAGGACAAGGCCCTGGGGCAGCTAGCCATAATCCGATATTTGGGTCGTTTTCCAGTCAGAACTAGCCCTTACTATCATTCCAGGATTTTGTTTCAGAACCTGAGACAAAGTTACCCAATCCCTTTAAGTTTCAAAAAGTAGACTTCATTGACCTGTACAAAGGCTTAGGAACCGGGGGGGGGGGGCTTGGGGGGCTCAGATATCATTGAGCCCCGCAAATTTTTTTGCGGGTCTTATAGATGTCATTAAGCCCCCCAATTTGTCGTTGGGGCTTAGATATCATTGAGTCCTTAGGGGCTAAGATTCCACTGAGCCCCCAATATTAAAGTGGTGCTCAGATATCATTGAGCCGCCCCCGATACTTATTGCGGGGCTCGGATATCATTAACCCCCCCCCCCCTTCCCCAATCATTATATTCTAGGCATGAAACTCATGTATACCTATAATCTACAGGCTAACCATTCAAATATAAACATTTTATAAATATATATTTGGGGTGGAGGGGGGGGGGGTGGGGGCTCAGACATCGGATCTCGCATATCATTGACCCCCAAAAATATATTTGGTGGATCTCAGATATCATTGAAACCCCCAAATATTTTGGCGGGACTTTGATATCATTGAGCGCCCCCCCCCCCATATTTTGGTGGGGCTCAGATATCTTTGAGCTCACCCCCCCCCCCTCCATATGTTGGTGGGGCTCAGATATCACCCAATTGATTTTTGTGGGGCTCGGATAACATCACGGAGCCCCCCGATATTTGTGTGGGGCTCGGATAACATCACGGAGCCCCCCGATATTTTGTGAGAGGCTCGGATATCATTGAGCCCCCCCCCCCATATTTTGGCCGGGCTCGGTTATCATTATCATTATAGATTGGTGCACATCATTATGCTCGATCATCCTCTCCTATCTGTTTGTTTTCATTCCTCTTTTAGTCATCCTTCATTTGCTACCTATGATATTTGATAAATACCTATATATGCAAAATAAACCCTGGAGGTTTAAAGTTGTAAAGTCCAGGGCAGTTTAACACACGCAATCATGAAATAAGGATGTCTTCATCGAAGTGTCTCTGTAGGTTTAGAACCACGCCCTGTGCCTACCCGCTCAGGCCACTCTACATTCAGGGGCGTCGCTAAAGGGGGGGGGGTGTGGGTTGAAGTCGGTGGGATTTTTGTTATGTCGGTCGGCCAGCAATTTTTTCCCCTTCGAACTGTGACTTTTTATCGGACAAAGAAACATTTTTGAAAATTCAGACAATGATTTAGAGTCTGTACAAGGAATAGTCTTCTTTTTCTAATAATTTAATGAAACGTTGAAACTCCTGCACTTCGCGCGAGAGGGGGAGAAACTGAATTCAGACAATTAGGGTTAAGAGTAGAGAACGGTACACAACAAATCGTCTTCTTTCTATAATAACTTAATGAAATGTCTAAGCTTCCACGCTGCGCGTGGGATGGGGAAACTGAATT